GAACTGCGATTAAATGGTTCTACTTATTGGCACAATCATGAGATTTACATAGCTGACTAGCATTTCCTTAATTTTCTGATTTAACTTCACAGAGACAAATATTTCGATTGACTTTATGATGCTAACTAATAACAGATCGATGCAAGTTGTTAAGTAGAATTGGAAGTGATCGGCAAGAAGCCCTGGTACTCGTAAGGCGTTTCTGCAATCTTGAGGGGACTGGTGCTATCTGTCTGATTCAGACTTTAATCAACCAACTTCAGAGTCGAAGACGTTGCCCTCATGATGTTAGGATCGCAAATGACCACTTGTAAGATTGAGATATTTACATTGACTAACCTGTTAGTAATGATCAATGTCATATATGCCTAATGCGATGAAGAATCCTATCGATTAAGTTGCAGTGATATGAATTAACAAATAAGGTACGATCAAAACCCATAAAAAATGACAATAATTATTTTAACTCGAGTATTAGGACACTCACAATAAATCATAGTTGTCAACCAATTCAGATTATTACTCAAAATAAAAATAACAATGTGTAATAATATAAACATATGCTAAATTGTTTAGGCAATCATTCAAATACGTGGTAACACATACACAACAAACTTAAGGTCAGAATAGTGTTTATTAAATCATAATATAAATGCTATAATTGCAATTAACAATTCAATTTGATAACAAATATTGAAGAGAAGTTTGTTATTTATGACAACAGATATTACTGAAGTGATGTGATCTCTATGTGTAGAAAACTGAGTAGCAAATATGTGGGATCGTTATTGAAGTAAAATTGATTTCTATGCCACTGAAGGTATATGTGTACATACCAACATAGTACAGTTATAAGGAAGTAATCCTAGCTTGATCGAAAAGGATTAAAAGTTCCACTGCGGTGGTAAACTGAGTACTAAATTCCAAAGAGAAGTTTTCATTGGTGAAATAACGCAAACTATGATTTCAACCTTAATGTTTCGTAATACGCAGAATGATTGAAAAGGGATTAACCAAAAAACCTTATTATGTTAATTTAATAAATAAAATTAATAGTAGAATTTATTCACAGTGAACAAGTTTATGCACTCCACTTTGAACTAGACTGTTTGTTTGAATGTTACCCAAATCGAAGAACAACAAGAGAGGATCAACCTTTTTTTAGTTGTACACACCTTGAATTCTTTCTCAATCAAGCTAAATATAATAAACTTCTGAAAAAATAAATGAATTAATGCATTGTGGAATTTGTCTAATCACTTTTATAATTAATTAGGTATTTATTATTGACTCAGCAAATTTGTACTGTAATTTTTTATTCAAATTACTGTAAGCCTGAAAACAGAGTTGAGTTCAATAACAGATCGATGATATTTTGAGAACAAATAAGAGGTCGAATAAATAATACCCGGAAATCCATTTGTTGAAGGATAAAAGAGGATAGAAGTATATTACATATTTCTTAAATACACGCATCAATGCTGCAGTATTCATTTGATTATATATTTATATTTGACTGTTAATCCAAACATTTTCCCATGCCACCAATTGCCTTGGTACTGCCCAGGGTGAAGAGTGTCAGTTCACCCTCTCTACATGCTCTCTCAGGGCCACGCGTATACAGCCACGGTCAGGGAAGTTCTACTCACTGTCTTTCCGTGATGGGGTCGTTCTCTAAATTAGATGAACGAAAAACGAATGTCCGGAGTTTTAATCAGGTTGGTAGGTACAGAAAATCCACCCAAGCGAGTTAGGAAACCCTAATCCCAATCAAATGGTGCACATATGCTTCAGGATCCTAAGGGAACAAAAAACGTATAAATCTATTGCTGTTCACTGGCTACTATGGTAATGGATCTCCTAATGTTGCTCCACTGTCTTGTGGATTAGACATTTGGGTCAAAGGCTCTGGGAGTGGCTCCTTAAGGAAACCACGTGCTTTGGTTTGGGCACCAGGACAGTATTCTAACCCTCACACAAATCGAATGATTTCTGCGTAGTATGACTCCCCAGAAGTGCATATGTATATCCAGATAGAAGATTAGACCAAAAACACCAGCTGTCGCTGCTAAACCATGTATAGGATGTAACTCATTGATTGTTAAGTAAAGATTTATGTGCATGACTACTTGTTATGTATGAGATCTATTAGTCGGGACTGAAGTAATGGAAACAAAGTTAAGACCCATGATCAAGAGATATTAATTAGAATGATTTGACCATTACGTCATCACTCTATACATTCGCGTTTATGATATTTCGTTAGGTATATAAACGTAAATGATTTATATAACTTGTTGATTATAATTTAATTTTAGATCACAAACTGAGCCGGCTAAAGCTGTAGAACTAATGAAAATCTGAGAGCATTGCATAATTACTTTAACTTGATTTTCAGCTCGAAAGTATTAAACCCAATAAGAACTAAACTGAAAATCTCCAGGTAAGGCACAATAAATTCACATCAATAATTCTGAATCTAACCGATCTTCAGATGGAATAAAACTAAAAAAAGACAACTATGATTGGAATATGGCATAAAAATCAAACAATACTTTTTATAATCATATGAATATACAAAAGGCATAATTGAATTAGTCTAACATTCGAATAATCTCTAGTCACATGAAAAGAGAATTAATTAATTTATGCACAAGATTCATTACATAAATTGCCTAGCATTATAAAGAAAAAACACATGAAAAAATGATACACAAAAAATGAAAATGATTTCTATGGTTATTTAACAGTTAGAAACAAAAATTAAATATTCGTCATATGGTTTATATCATGAATTCAAAAAAAAAACCGTTAACATATCACTGAATAAAATAGATTCTAAGTATTCCAGAACTAGAAACATTTTATTTTCATATATCAGAAGGGTTTTGTAGATATTATAGCAATTTCAATGGTTGAGATCATGAGTCGATTGAAACCGACCGGCCATCCAGTGCTTTCAAAGTTTTCCATGGTTGTCTAGTTTCAATCGATTCATGATCTTAACCATTGAAATTTTATTTTCAATCAAATGTTAAGATAGAAACGGTAACCATAATAGGGTAACGAAAAAAAAAATTAAACCTATCATTTTCAAAGTAAACGCGTATATGTGATTAGGATAATTGAGTTGAAAGTTAAACAAAATGTCTACAGAAACGAAAAGTCGCATTAGTAATTTAAGATATAATCACTTAACAAGTATGCATTCGTTTATTTTTGTGTATCGTGTGTTGCATACTACCTAATCGAGTGTCAAAATAGAAAGAGATAGAAGTACCTTAAAATATGTTATGTGACTATCTGTAATTTGGTAGACCTTATTGATTAAGGCATTCAACTTTCAGGTCTGAGTCTTGATTTGTCTACATTGCTTCGTGTAACCAAAAAGAATCATTAGACATAACTCAAAGTGTAATTCATAACTGAATACACAAACCTATTAAGAAATCTGAATGCTTTTCATAGAATGTTTATAATGATATTGAACAGTTTAACTGTGGTTGAAACAATGATGTTGTTCAAAATCATCTAGTAAGAATGATTGAAGATGGGGAAAAAACTCTATAATTGGATAAGAACCTTGTTAATCTTGTGCATTAGACAGATAATTGAGCTTATTTCTAATGAATAAACATCGAAACATTCACCGCATAAAATCCATCTATCACCACAAATATTTATCAATGGAAATAATCCATTATCATCAAACACCAACAAATAAAGATCCAGTAATTCATAAACACACAGACACACAATCAAAAACAAAAGACAATAATCATATGAAAAGTATTCATTCTGTCATTATTAATCATGGTTATCATTATGAACACTTTTATTAATTAATATCCAACTGAACAATATCTTGTTATTAGTTTCATATTGAATTCTTTTCAACGTCTTTTTTGTTAGGCTAGATAAAAAAAGAATTGCCAATTATAAACAAAAAAATAATAATAATAATAATTAGTTAACATTCTCAATATTATATTAAATATATCTTATCACAATACACAATTACAGTTAATCATTTCTCTTTTTGGCTTTACAAAATTCAGAATAAAATCGAACAATCTTTTCTTTTCTTTCCCTTTCAAGATGAATTAAAATCCAAGTAACTACTACTGTATGCCCGACGTACGTATAGTTATACAGTACATTCATGAAAAGTAATTTTTTTCAAAAAAAAACAGATAATCCCTTAAAATCACAAAGGATCGAACTATTTTTTTTTCCTGATGTCACTTAAAACTAGTAGATTAAAACAAAAAAAAATGACAACTTTCTCGTTAGCTGACTTGCTCTTTCAGTCCCTTGTCATCTTTTTCAGAACAAAAAACAATTGTTGAAATTGGCACAAAAAAAAACAACAAATTGTGCATATTAATAAGTAGAAAATTATTGACTATTCCATATTAAACAAAAGTAAATATATATTGGTCGTATTAATATTAATAATGATAATGATAATATGAAGAAACTCCATATACATTGATAATCAATTAGGCACTGTCAAATGATAAATAATCATTAAACAATTGTTTATATGTAATGAACACGACAAGACAACAAAAAAAAAACTGATTGATGTAAGATTCAATTACGGTGAGGGAAAGGCAATTTCATTTATTATTCAAAAATAAAAGAGGAGTTGGCATGTGATGAAAAATTCCTAGATGAAGCAACAAAAAAGATTTTAATGCATGGAATTCACCATGAATGAAATCATTAAAGAAATTTCAGATCAAAGAAAACAAAAATGATAAATATGATTGGAACACACCTTGAAATCACTCAATTATGTGTATATGGTTGAGAAAGCACACACAACCATTTTATTTTCCACCTTGTCAATATACATATATATGAAATAATAAGAACAAACACACGTATACGCCTGTATACATTTAGCATGGGGATGTATGTTGTTTTTTTTTAGCGCCAATCGATTTGCGTACACACACACACACACACGTAGAAAAGCACATGGAATGATTTTTGGATAAAACCAAACGAAAAATTTATTTTACTAAAACATAGAAACAACATTTTTCTTCAATTTAAAAAAGAAAGAAAGAAAGAAAAACCCTCTCAATGAGTAAACTCTGGATAAAAGGAAATCTTTTCTCTTTAGAAAATTATTAATGAAATGTGACAACATTATCAAATTTGCATGTGAAAATTATCTGATAGGAAGTAAAGTAATAAGTAGTCCGTTTTAGAGAAAGAAATATCTAAGAGAAGATAGAACATAACACAGAAATGAAACATTGTCAGTAAAGATAATAAAAGAATTATTATTATTATTGTTATTATTGATATGAGAATACAAGATAATGTGAATAAGTGTAAATGAAAAATGTTTATCTAGAAGGAATGATGGTAACATTCTATTGATCATTGAGCAATTAAATATTGTTCTAGTTAGGAATAGAAACAAAAACAATTGAATATCACAGATCTTCTGTAGATAAGAATTTTTTTTTATTAAAAAAAAACACAAAAATTTATTTCATTATTATGGTACAATGGATAATAACCTCTGAACTTGTATTTAGTAGATGAGCTAAAGTGTAGATTTACCATTTAAAATAATTACTGTATTTCAGCAAAGCTGTTGAACAATAGTGAATGGATATGTGTTAATCAATGCGCTTGTCTGTGTTCATATGTTTTTTTGACACATCTATAGCCTCGATATTGTTTAAATAAAATAAACAGTAATATTTGGAAGCAGAATAATAGGAATAATAATAATAATAATAATAATAGTCAGTAACAATAATAGTAATAATGTTGAAAGACATTTCAACCTGAAATGTTTTTTTTTACTTTGCGAACAGCATATACATATAGACCTAAGTACAAAATCACCTCCGCTTATGTCAAGAAAACAATAATAAATAGAAAAAATAATCATAAAAATGAGCAAATAGGATCATTCAAGCACATACAAACACACACAAAAGTATTTTTCATTACAAGGTCAAGGTGATTCAATTATCTAAAACAAAATCAAAGTAAAGCTCGGGGAGTGTAATAATCCAATTCATTCAAATTATTATTTATTTTTCTATGGATTAGTTGTTTACCACCATCCTCCCCCACCAAAATTAGCACTGTTTCCATTTGTTTGTAATTGATTATTTGTCGGTGGAATGATATTTCCTAAACGAGCATTCATTCCTAGAGAGGAGATTTTCGACAAAAATGATTGGGGTTCAATAGTACTTTCATGTCGTACATTGTCAAATGGATTGGCATTATTCATTATACCAGTATTATTACGCACACTAAGACCAATAACACTATCTACTCTGCTACTTCCAATACCCATGTAACCATTGGTTTCACGAGGCAATTCAAGATATTGTGTAAGATTGTCTTCTAATAGACGATTGCGTAATGTTGCCAAAGTCATACGAACTTCATTTAATTCTCGTTCAGATTCATGTGAATGACCAGTCAATCGATCATTTTCTATTTGTAAACGGGTAATTTCTGTTCGAGCAGCTATATAACCAGAGTAGAAAAAGTATAATAATTAATTTTTTTCAAAAAGACAAGAAACAATGAAATCAATTAACATTGAGTTAGAAAGTTTAATACAAAATGTAAACTAGCGGAAATCACATGTGTGTAAAGTTTTTGCATTTGATCGAACTCTCTGTGTTAATTGAATCATTTAAGGTATTGACATAAAATACAACTACAACCCGGTTAATAAGAATGTACATCTTAATACTTACTATTCAGTTCAGTGAATAAGTGATTACATGATCACAGAAATAAAAAGCTCTCTCTAGGAAATTTAACGTACATTAAGCACGATTCCCATTTGCTATGGCAGTATACACATGTATATTTTAACACTGTTTAAAATATCCACGTAAGTTATCTGAATTCAAACCGCTCAACAATCTTATCACTTTATGTTTTACGGAAAAATTTTTAAAAATGTTTTGTTAAGATTGTGTCAACAGACATTTACACAGTGAATAAAGAAACAAAATGTACAAGAGAGTGTAAACGTTCAATTTTATCATCAAAACAGATCAACAGCCGTTCATGCTTGTAATCTTCATGCTCCATCCACTGTTCATAGCCAAGGTTGTCAAAGTATCTAAAGACTATTTTTCTTCGTTACAGCTACAAAAATTATTACGCGATAGAACAAATAGTAATGTACAGTTGAAAGGTACCATTACAAACTATGCGCGAAACCATGTGCTCCATATTCATTGAACAATAAAGAACCATTAAAAACTCGACTCGTTTTGGTTGGTGCAATGTTCCAGTCATTTGATATTAAGGAAGCACCACTCGATAAAGCCCATATACTAATTTGGATTAGAAATCCACTTTCCGAGGCCCACGGACCCACTACATGGGAATTGTTGGACACTCCGGGACTTGACGCGCCGGAGACGCAACAGGGGCGAGTATAGGATACATGGATACTGGTCACACACGTTTTCATTCATGCATCCCATAGGATACATACAGGCATATTCACTCACCTAGAAGAATAGATGGTCACCCCTCCCTTCGAACGTATTTGTTACAAATGACTGTTTTTTAACTATTATATGCGTACCGCTGGTACAACGAACTTCGTCCATGCATGTCACGATATAATCGTAAGCATAAGAATTCGTCTCAGAGAGGGTTAATGATCACCTCTCCCTAGATTCTGCTACCATATCGTTTTACTTTGTCTTCGATCTAATGAATACATTAACACCAAATACTTTGTAACCTATGAGTGTATCAACTTGAATTAACGCATATCAGAGAGTAGACGAATTCAGTTACAAAATTATTGCCTTAATTATCTCCAAAGTGATAGCAAGAAAAATTTAATTAAAAGCTAAAAAGAAAAATATGATAAAATATGAACGTACTTTGTAACGATTTTAGTAAATGTGTCACATATTCAGCTGTTTCACGCTTTGTCATATCTGAAATGCGAATAATAATAAAAACAATGATAATAAGCAGGAATGTTAATAATTTATTGACTAGAACCTTGAAAAGATTAGTAAGATCTTGATACAAATAGTTTCACTGCGCCTCGATGGACAATGTTAGCTAGTACAGGGGAATGCTGAAAGTAAGCTAGGGGTGACCAAAACAAACATGGTATCAGTCATTTGACTTGGTCTGAGCCATGTTGATAGATCCAGATTGCGTAGTTGGAGTTCGCATGATAACTCCGACAAATGGTTGGTGAGGTTGGGTAATATGGCTTAGAATCTATCATAATGGCCCAGACACATTCATTCACTCATCATCTTTCTCTAGATCTTTGGTTTCATTATTTCTCCATTTTACCTATTGAAACCATAATATCAATACTTAGTCTTTTTCATTATAAGGTAATACGCTGATTATGATTGACTGACCTCATGTTCAAATGCACCCGTTCCAATTAAATTACCACTAAGAGAGAAAGGACTTAAAAAGAATAAAAGTTGACTGTATTTTCCACATCTTATATCACCACAACGAAAGAAAGAAATAACGATAAGTAGAGAAGAGTGAAGTTACCAATTTTAGAAGAAATTAAACATAAGAAACAAAACTGAACTAAAAATTTAGAGGAAAATGGAAACGGAGCTATGAATGCGTGATTTATATCATCACTCACTTATTCACCATGTACAGATTCATATAATGGGCTATGGGCTACAATCTACATGTGAAGGATGCTAATGCTGTCCGGTTGCTCAAACTGAAGTCAGTATTTTAAGATTCGAATGTCAAACTACCTGACCAATATATCACCATATCACCTATTACATAGACTTGCCTACAACATACTTCAATCTACGAAATGAATTCAATTTTTTCTTCGAAAAAAGTGCTTAAAAAGGAAACCAATAATGAACTAAAGTCGATCGTTTAATCAACATTAAGGTAGGCAGTGTTAAACCAAAAAAAAGTTACCTTCAATAGGTTTACTAGGTCGATCATCAGGTTGAGCACCGAATGCTGAAGTATGAAAACTACCAGGTGACTCAAAAGGTGCAGCTGAAACTTCACCAACTCCATCAGTTCGCTGTTGAATAGGTGTTGCAACACCTATTAAAAATGTATAACAAAAATTGGGGAGTGTGGTAAATGGACGTAATAATCAATAAACTAGTGATAATAAAAATTGTTATTATTACTATTAAGTGATATTTATACGAGAACAAATTGTCATGTATGAATTCATTGACAAATTAATACAAATCTCAGTAAACATTCGATTTATAAAACATTCAGGTAAAATATGTATGAGTATGAGTTTATCCATTCTCGATATTATAGACTGTATTTGATCAGTCTCTAATGACATATATGCACACAATCAGTCAGTTATGGCACAATGTAGAACCTGCCGCATGTTCAGAACAAGTCCATGCAGTTTATATTGTACTTGGTAACAAGTTGTTTTATTGAATTCCAGTGTGAACACCAACGACACCACATAAGCATATCTAGCTGACGATTCATAAATTGGATAAATCATGGATTTCACTGCTAGTTACTAATCAGATTAAAGCAATGATACAGTTTAAGTACAATATCACAGGAACATAGTGATTAATAAATGGTGACCGTACAGAAATCCATAATGTAAGCCTGCAATCACCTTACAATAGATAGTGAATGAGAAAATAATGCAGCTAATAAATAGGTTGAATCCAAACAACAGCTCATTCAGTTACAAGCCAAAAAACTAAATTATACATAAAAGTATCACTTAAGTCATGACAACTTAACTTGTACATACGTAAAAATGCATAAATACTCGGTACACGACTATCTGACGGCTACTGAAATGATCAGAATATCGGAAAGTTTGTCGACGAATATTGTATGTCTAGACAACTAACTTGTAAAGATGATTAATTATAAGTGGAAATATAAACTAGATATTTATAAGTTGAAATGTAAAACAAATTGAGCATTGAGTCGAGTTAATGATAAATATATTCTTTATATTCCAATGAGTACAAAATCGCATTTTTGACGTTTCGTGACTTAATGTAAGCCACTTCTTCAAAGTAGGTTTCTACTCATTGGAATATAAAAAATATAAAGTTATTACTAGAATATAAAAACATTGTTTGGTCATGCTTAGTATTTTTTTTAACTACAAATATTTAAGCGATTATATAACATGAAAATCTGATATCAGTTTATGGAGTTATTGCTTGTTAAACTGAACCATGGAGACAAGTTCAGACCACTTGGTTCGGTTCGTGTGAATATCATCACTAATCGTTAGTGACTTTGGATGATACGGTTTAGAATCCATTGAAATGGTGAGAAGCATTGACTTTTTTTCACCCCCTTGATCTGAAGTTTCTTAACTACTTCCTAAAAACAAACCTTTTTCACCCCACAAATCCATATTTGCTTCTTTAATCATATCTTCTTCACCTAATATTTTCTACTAGTACTAATACTGTTATTATTTATAATGTTGTCGTATCTCATCGAGTTGATATGATGTGGAAACCCTAACTGACACACATATATGCCAATTTCTACAATTATGCATCCAAATTAATAATCCAAAAAGTGGTTACGTTTAAGACAAAATAGATCGTTGAATGTGAATTCGGGATTGATTTTAAAATAAAATTGTTAACTTTCAAGTAAGCAGTTGTGCAAATTGTTGAGTTTTATTCAAACTGCGAATCAATTTACACGAGCCGACCATCAAAGACAATGGATGATGGTCATGCAGCATCATGGATTGGTTGAAGTTAAACATGTACACTGTGAACTCCCGTTCGATCGTCTAAAGGTTAAGTGTTCGTACACAAGACTGAAGGTTTTGGGTTCGATGCCCGGCTGCAGGGTCATGGATATGCACTATTAAGAAGTTCCACACAATAATGAACCGCTACCGAATGTTTTTAGGCTTTTAATTGTTGTCTAACTTAGATCAGTTCGCGATTTCAATAAAAGTGTTAATGTTGAAGAATAACTACTGAATAATAAACAATGTTAACTGGCTGATATGTCAAATGAAATTGTGATAGTAATGATTAGATTAGGTATGGATCAGATAGGGTGAGAGAAATAATAATCCAATTACAAATTCGATCAAATGTTTAGTGGAAGATTATATTAGGTATAACGTTATATGAACTCGGTAACAAAAAATAATAAAGTTGGTGAAGTGCTAATTAATTTACCCATTTTTACGGGAGACAAATAGTGGTGTTGAAGTTTAATAATAATAATAATAATAATAATAATAATAATAATAATAATAATAATAATAATAATAATAATAATAATAATATAAAGACGTGTGAATAGAAATAACTAAGACAATAAAATTTGAATAAGAAAGGTTGTATATACTTCAGTCAGTTTTAGTCATTTTATAGTTAATATTACTCTTCATCTATTACCTTGGGGTTAGCCAAAACTAAGGAAAGGTGTTCAACTTACTACTTCTACAAGCATAGCTCCGAATGGCAACCGATTCTATCATTTAGAATAATTTGAGCTGAAACCGCCTTTAGGATAAAATTACTAACCCGATAAATTATTGGAAATGATTTACTTAATCTGGTAATATGACCGGTTTGCACTACATAACTAGTGCTGAGCCGTTTACTATCTTGACTAAACCAGTGCTTGGCCACGTCGACAGGCATTCAGGAGCAAGAAAATGTAAGTTCATAGAACTCCAATGCTTCCAGGTTATTAGTACTGGTCTAACATTGATCGGTTCATGATCACAATTAAAACTTAACAATTTCTACAGCTCAATTAGTTCGGTAAAAGTCTTTTGTAAATCCACCAAATGCTAAAAAAATTCATGCGTATGGATAGTAAATAAACAAAATTAGTGACTGATGTCATTATGAGGAAAATATTTGGTGCAAAAACGTTTTGTGAGCTGATGTCAAAGGGTTGACATATGTTTCATGCTATTTCCAACTAGACATCAAAGATCTTCTTCAATATTGAAGGAACTGATGTTACCCATTATGGAATTTAAACCAGTATTGTATACATAAACAATAATTAGCAAAAATAATATTTGCACTAAAAAACCCAATGCTCACCTTGCTCATCTAAATACAAACTGGCTGATATCCTTGATTTACCTGAATCTTGACGAGGATACAAACTTTGTGATGGGTAACCACCACCATTATCACTGACTAGACGAGTAGAAATATCTAATTGAGAAGTTGAGGCTGAAATAGAAACGAACAATGAAAATTAATTGAATAATTTATTTATTACTGCTCAATCTGTATTGTTAGTTATTGATTCTGCTGACAAGTAACCTTGCATACGTATCTCTCTCGTCGTACACGATCATACATTTAAAAAATCGCCGCAAAAAAGAGAAAATGACTTCGATATTCAACACTCATGCGGAACAGACTTCATTAAACGGTAAACAACCTAGACATGATAAAAACATCTAACTAATAAAAAGTCAGCAAGTTGCAAACACAGAACCAAAAGGCAAGATGAAAAACAGTCAAAATAAACTAAAGATCAAAAACACAGCCGATAAAATGAATGGATGAGATTGAAAATGAAGAAAAGGTAATGATACCAAGTTTAGTTTTCAGAGAAAGATGAAAAATAAATGTAACTGTGCCCCACCTCAGTTACTTTTAAGCTATGTCACTCAACGTACAAGCTACGATTATCTCAAGTGTTTCAATTAGGAAGTTTTCATCAATCAATACTTCTCAAGACAAAAATCGATAGTTTCACTGACTGATGTCTTGTCATAATATTTCTGTATTCAGCTTCTTTAAACACTGTTTTTATGCCTGAAAGCATTGTGAGATGAGATAGATGATAGCCAACCATACATAATAAATATCCCAATCACAAGAGGGTGAACGTTTTAACCCTTATCTATCGGTATACCATTTCCACAGGAATCTGTAAATCAAAGCTCAAAATTAGCAATTTGGACATTTTATTGCATTCAAGCAACGCATGTAAAACACGTGACCAGATGCAATTAACAGATAATCCAGTACTAATATATTTGTTCACGATACTGCGTGATAAACGTTTGAATAACATGAAAAATAGCCGTTCACCCAAGAATGAAGATAAATATCAAATATAGTGAAACTTAGGTAGATCACAAGATTCCAGTCGGTTACAACTACGTTAAACAGAGTTTACAGAGATGTTGAAACGACTAGTTTAGTAGTTACATTGCAAGAACTAGAATTAAGACCATGACAACACAATACTAGTTACTAAAAAGTGACTAGTTGGCATCCCCTAAAAATCCATTACCTGATAACTATGCATTAGTACATGAAGCTATTCACAAATCGTTTACTATCCCTTATTTATTTAAGCATACAAAGCTTGATATAATAAATCAACACAAAATGCGCCGCACAAAAGAAGTGATAACACTGCAAAGAAAACAGAGTAGGGAATGAGAGCACATACAATAAATAAATGAATAGAAATGGTACACAATGAGAAATAAAGTTAGAACAAAAGTACAACAAAAAATGACTTCTCTCAATCAAAAACGTTATTCTCAGTTTTGTGATGAATACAGAGAAGAAGTACATTTGGATCATTAGTTACTTGCACTCTAAGACACTTATGATAGCTTCTGAAAACATTGAGTTACACCATCTGTACGACCCTAACCAAGGAGTCAGGGTTTACGGACAGATCCTAGTCCCATTTTAATTTCTTTCATATCACAAACTCATATCATTAACCGAACACCTCAACACATTTCCCACTCAGTCCCAGTGTCGCCGAATAATCCACAATATGGAAGACGCTGAAACAGCATTCGCAACATATGATTAAGGCATCAAAGTCGGTACTTCAGGAAAGTGGCATTACTTGAATAAATTTTTCTGCACCGGAATACCTCTTGTCGAACGTCGGGAGTACTAACATGGTGTAGTTAGCAGATGTCAACAATCCTTCGAAAGGAACAATGAATAAACATGGAGTTGCTATATATCCTAACCTCGGATGAGTCAGGTTTCTCAACCATAGAATAAAACTCCTCTTCCGACGCATTGTAAACTCTAAATTTTACAACTAGATTAAAATCGCAACAGAGATAAAGACGGCTCAAATTGATACAACCTGCTATGCGTTCACTATCTTCATAATGATCTCACCAGTAATGGTCATTCCCAATAGACAGTAAGTGGAGCTAACATTCTACGATGAAATGATCTATATGAAACCAATGAAGGATTTCATAATAACCAGTTTAATATAATACTTCATACACACATATAGACACGTAAAACATTGAAAAATCCCTATGAAGCACATCTACATTTACGTAGGTGCCAACAATCAAAAATAGAACAAAGAATTGAAAAACTTATTAATTTTATGAAAAATATCATGACACAATGATAAAATGAAGATTAGAATATCAGTAATCCTGATGTATCATTTGTTCACTAACTTTTTCTGCTTCTCTTACGAACCGATTGTTGAATATGTAAGAAAAAAAAGCTAAACACAGAGCACAAAAACGGAATGATTAACAATCAAACAAGCAGGTGAATAAACTAATGATTAGCGAAATACTGTGCAGCTGACTATGTATGCATACATTCAAGCAATAACGGCGGCATATTTGAGCAAAGACTATAGAAGAAGTGCCGACGAGCTCTAAAGACTGAGACATAATTTTACAAAATGTAAGCTAAAACGCAGCAGAGATTAAGAAAACAAATCAATTATTCGAATTAAATAATTGTGCAGTTTACTAGGGAAAAATAATAACAACACCAGGACTTGAAACGTTTCCTCATATCTATATGCCCTGGTACAGCTGAGGATGGGAGAGTCAGCTCTCCCTCCCGAAATGTCCTCACACGGCCATGGGTATATAGCCACAACCACGTAAGTTCTACTCACTGTCTTCTCATGGTGGGGCTGTAGTTTATGGAATTGAGAGGACGAAAAGCGAATGTCCAGAGCTTTAATCGGGTTGGTGGATATTGAGAATCCATCTAGGGCATTTGGGAATCCCTGATTCCAAATGAATGGTGCACATGTGCTTCAGGATCCTGAGGAAACAAATCGCGTATGAACCAATCGTTGGTTACAGGTTACCATGGAACTGAATCTCCTAATGTTGCTTCATTGCCTTGTGGATCAAACCTTCAGACCAAAGGCTCCGGGTGCGGCCCCCTAAGGAAACCACCTGCTTCGATCTGGGCACCCAAGCAGGATCACAGACCAAACCCAAACCAAGTGACTTGTGTGGCGCATATGTATTCGGTGCCTCTTTGTACCAATATGTGTTCAACTAAAAATAAAAATACATCTAAATCTAGAATGTTGAATGAATCTCTGCAGTCTACTTGTAATGCAGCCGCTGAATTAGAAGAATCAAAACCTTATTGCAACTTAATTGATATTATTTAGCCGACTGATACGATCTGATCAACAGCTAGGGGCTGTACTACATGGCGTTAGTTGCTATTTAGTGACTTATCATTCTAAACACCTCACACTCACAAGTTAGTTCCAGTCTAAGTAGCTCAGTAACAGCATTCCTGAATTCATTACTGAGTAACGTGCAAAAAAATAGGTGAAGGATCACCAGATACTTGAAGATTGCATACGTTACCTGCTGATGAATAACAATCAAAACAAATTCTGAGTCTATGGCCCCAGCCAAGTGTAACAATCAGTTTTTATGGAAGAGATATATTATTATTATTATTGACTTTATTCAAATATTATATTTTGGTACAATATATAGAATTCTCAGAACAGGGTATTGTGGTTAGTAGTGGAAACCAGGACGCACGTTTCATCCTGTCTGGAACCCGTCAGCTAAAAGTACCGACATTCCAGTATTGATGTTAACACTGGTACTCGAACCCAGTAAACTTGTGACAAAATTGTTATATCGAGGCAATTCACACAGGATGTACATATTACAACTACGACTAACCAAAATTCAGTCAAGAATATCAACAACGGGATAATTGAAACCTTTGGAAATTAATCAATCTAAAAAAGTGAAAATGGTTACTGAAGTTAAACAAAGGAGGGAATTATTTAAATGTCGACCTACATTGGTGGGTATGATACAGAATACTATAAAGTATAAGATTTCCACTTCACGTATTAAGAATATACAGTATTTGTTCAACACTATCGATTAACAAGACAACATTATTACATGAAAGGATCAAAATTAGAAAGGATGAGAGTAAAGATGTGGTCATGGATCAGGTGAATATGAAAGAAAGCAAAGAAGATTTATGATAAATATTACTTGTCTTCGTGAGCTAGCGACCTAATGAACATAGAAATTGGAGTAAACAGTATTATGAAAGACTAAATATTTATTCGGCATTCTCAGACAAAGTTTTTAAAAAGTCAACCAATAACAGAGTCGAATTCTTACTTCAGAAAAAAAACCATGGGTAGTAGATGCTATAAGGGTAAATACATTTTATGTGATCACAACCCTAAGGCAGATCCAGATCAATGACTGTTTTAGTACCACTTGCAAAACTGTTGCTAATGAAATAACTTATTCATCAGTGATATTTCTCCTAAATTTCTGTTTTATTTAAGCACTATTTTCAGTGTTGCTATAGCAGACCAAAAAAGAGTGAACAAAAGTAACGACAAACTCACCAGCCTACTCGATATATATAAATATGATTCTATCGAAAAAGTTTATGTAGCCTCTGGAAAAACAACATATATACTGAAGAGATACTAAAAGAAGTGTCAACAAATGTTTCCAAAAACCAGCCCAAATACACCCGTTGTAATAATAATGGTTAAAAAAACATTACTAATCGTATTTCGGTATAAACTATAGACTAAAGCATAAAATGATTTTGCAGCAATTATTAGAAACTAACTAGAGCTATACAATTTGTATTATTTTGAAAGTGCATAAATCAACAGATTATTCAGAGCAATCAATGTGAGTAGAGCAACTGATAGAAATAGCATAGAATGGCAGGATACTGAAGTTATATCAATATAATAAATTATTGCTTTACACAATTTATGAGCCGGGGATTCTATGGATTTAGATGGGATGATAGCCGATGGAACCAAACGGCTGTTAGTGTTGTATCGGTAGTTGGTGTTGGTATTATTACTGCTCACAACGCTAGAACGCGTGTATAATGAATCTGTGGGGATAAGTTTAAATTTATGAAAATTTTGATCATCAGTTGGAATAATAATAATATGACCTATAAATTGTTACATAATAATGACATAGGATTAAAGATTTGTTGGACATTGCACTCTGAATCGCCTTTCTTTTTAAGAAGGAAGATGAATAGAACGAAGAAATATTTTTTCCTAATTGGTTCTTCATTAAGTTCTGTTAGCAGCTTACCGAATTGTCATGAATAAAGCCCCTCAATTTAACTGTGGTCTTTAATCGAATTTATCGAATAGTGTATATATGCATATCTATTACTAACGGATGAAGCTATCAGCATCCCTATCTGACCAATACAAATTTCTGTGTGTACATGGAGTTTATGAAGCTGCTTTCTCTCACTCTCCCCTTCTTGATCATCAACACCTTCATGCTACAGCCCGATTATGAACGCTAGACATTGTTGTCTCATTTTTATTTGTTACAAAATCATCTAATTTTGTTCTTACATAATTATTACTAATATTTATCTCCTTAGTAATACATGTAATCATTGTTAACATTAGACTCTTCTGAGCGTGATTACCGGTATCACCATTAAATCATCCATTCATAGTGATGTATAATTTTCGAAAAATTTAAATGTATTATTTCATTATCGACTGAGATCATGAACCGATTGATGTTAGACCACCATTGAGAACCTAGAAGCACTAGACGGCCGTTTCGTCCCAATGTTGGACTCATCAGCAGTTCGCATCCAGGATCCCACTCGCAAGTTCGAACCCAGGGCCTTCAGTCTCACGCACGAACGCTTAACCTACTGGAACACTGAGCTGTTATCCAACTGTGTTAATGTCTAGCCTCGATCAATCCGCGAAATTGAGCGACCATCTTCCATTGTACTAAGGTAGATACCTGTCTCTACCCGATACAGATTAGCTCCACTGGTCACGGCTTCTTACTAGAACTCCGAGAATCCCTTCACGAAGCCAGTCACAAGTGAGCACATGGTAACATTAATCGGTTCATGATCCCAATCAATAACTTCATAATCTCCACAACCCTATATTGATAATTCATTATCATTAACCATTATAAAAACAACACTAAAACTGACCTCGATACGATGTCCCGCCAATAGATGATTGACTTCTAGTAATAATATCATTTGAAAAATGTACAAAACATTTATTGAATATCAACGAATAATTATAGCGTTTATTAATGATTTTAAAAAAGGCATTCAAACAGGATAGACAAATAAATAAATAAGGTTATGTATATTAGAATTAAAACAATTTTATAATTGTAACACTTTATGGGTCATCAATGTCAATGTCTACCAAAATAAGAAAAACAAAACGAAATCTTAAATATTGAAAAATATTCACATAAACATTCAGTTATTTTGTAATATAGATGAAAAATAATTCCTAACATATTTTTGTGTATAATCACGTATACAGAGTATTAATACTACAGTTCATATAAATAATCAAGTAATTTATACAGATCATTAATCAGTTTAATCCTTACTAATCGACAGTTCAAACTGGATGAGATAGGGTGTTATATTTGAGCTTCCCATCTTGTGATGCAGTAATCAAATGCCTCCGCTATGGGACCACATAACTGATGATTTGTGACATAACGCTGTAGTATGGAAGTAACATGGGACTGGGATCCATCAGTAAACCATGACTCCTTGGTTAGGGTTGTACAGATTGTGTAACTCAGTGCTTCTAGAAGTTATTATAAATGTCTTAGAATGTAAGCGATTGGTGATTCGACTGTACTTTTACTTCGTATTCATCATAGAAGTGAGAATAACGTTTTTGATTGAAAAAGTCACTTTTGGTTATATTTTTATCTAGACTTTTCCCCGACTGAATTTCGTATCCTTCCTTTCACCTTCAACAATGTCATATCTTTCTTAATATGGTGCCCATATTTTGGTACCTAATTATACCCATATCTTATGTGTATTTGTATCACGTTTTGCGTTTAAATTGTTTATTCTAGTTAGCATTCTTTTGCAACGTTGTTTTCCATAGGACAACTGTCTATGCAAGATACTCAATGTCCGTTTGCCGGATACCATCAGCAACAGTCTAGTATATACAGCCTGCTGTATATATATATACGCTTGAGTTGTGTGTTTGTTGTTCGTGCTTCCGGTTGCTTGTGTAATATACTTTCCCTCATCTGAATATGGACTTCTCCATCTAGTTAGCGGGGCTGAAACACATTCTTCATTCAGTTTGCCGATTTTTAATGACCTGGTAATCTCTTCAAACACAACAATTCCACAACGGAAAACTATGTTCACTGAAATAAATTTCAAATTTATACTTATAGTAATAACAAAATACTTTTATAAGACTGTAAAAACTACCTCGATTGATAACATTTCATTTTTAATTAAAGTACCATACTGATTTGTACATCACTTGGCTGATAAGCTTTCAAGTAATACTTTGAATGTTTAAACACTTCTCTCTTGAACTTTTGAAGCAATTTTAATCTTGTATTGCACATAAAGTACCAACAGGGTTAGAGAAGAATCGTTCAACTTTACTATGAATTGAGTTATGAAATGATATTTGAAATCTGTCAAAGAAGTAGCCAAATTTATTTTAACAGGCATAGAAACCATCAACTTTTCCCATAACTAACTATTTATCAATCTTCAGGAAGTGTACCAGAAGAAAGAACATTGAAGTTGAAGCGATTAAATTGCAGTATAGATACTTTAGAAACAATATCTTATGTAAATTCATTTTGTATAGCTTGTTTGAATCTTCTCATTGATGTTTAAAAATCCAATTGATCAGTCACTTATTAGAATATGTGCATCCTGTGCGGATTCCCTCGATATTGCAGGTATATTCAGCTGACAATTCCTAAACAGAACGAAACACGTGTCCTGGATTTCACTGTTAGCCATTATCCACCTTTGCTTATGAATATCTTATGTAGTATGAATAATTTAAGCAATAAAAACGGTTTTAAAGGTTGCTATTTTCAGTAACTTCTTGTAACTGTTAACATAAATATTTAATTTTTTTTAAAAAAAATTGATTATTAAAACAGACAACTACACACATACAGAGAGAGAGAAAAATACACACCAGTTAGAGCTATGTACAACTTACCCTCGTAAATTTGATTTTGATCTACAAGAGTAAATAAAACACAAAAGATGTAGATTAATTGATGATTAAAAAAAAAAGGACAAACAAACAAAAAAATTTAATACGCTTATTTTGTTTTCATAGTAGAGGTTAAATTAGAGGCTAATACAAGAATAAATACAATATAAATGAGATTAAAAATAAATGAAGTATACAATAGTGGGAATATACAACGATAAATGATTTATTTTACAATAGAAATGTATGATGCACAATTGCACAAAACTGAAATCAGGATTGGTTACTTGGATAAAAAGCATTTATATCCAAATAGATTTTATCACTAGGTTTTATATGAAAGTATTTTGATAATAAGTTGGGTAAATAACATTTGATGTTAGTTATAGGGCTAATAGTAACGGAAATATTTGAATTCTAGCAAGCATTAATATTTGTACACAGAAATTATTACTATGCGTTATTTGAAAAGCCACAAAAATCTAATACAGTTGGTATGTAGTTAGCAGTGCAATTTGTGACTCGTCAGCTGAATACATCTGCATCTCAGTATAGATGGTCAAAATGGGACCTAAATCCAGTAAGCTTTGCTACAAATTCTCAACACGTTATCCGATGAGCTACTGAGTCTAGATAGTTAGAAACGTATTCAATTGGTATGAAAATAATTATATGATTTTATGATTTACAGTAAATGATATTCAACGGATATTATGTTGGAAGTTGGAAGTGAAAGGTACTGAATTTGAGTCTCAGTGTGAACATCAACACTAGGATGATGCAGGCATGTCTACCTGAAGAATCACAAATAAGACGAAATGTGCGTCTTAGATTTCACTGATAGATACATAAAAAAGTATACCGAAACTTGTGATATAGTATTCTTTAGAAGCAATCCACTCAGGATCGTTAAATGGCACATACACAGAGACAGGTCAATTGTAATCCTGAATATCAACAAAGGAAAAATACAAACCATTCCTAACGCCATGAAATTATTATTCATTATCATAACCGTCTAAATAATGGTGGTTTTTACTGAATCTGTAGCCTAATGCATGATAACCCTTAAGAGCTAGAAGCAATAAGGTTTGAGGTTCAAAGCTCACTTGGAAGCAAGAGTATTCAGATGACATATTCAAAGTGTTCAATAGGCGTCCTGAAATCTACTCCTAAGTACCATCCATAGTAAAATATCACACAATAAAGCTAGTGACTAGCTAATTCAAAATCATAACTCCACAAAATGGTAGAGCCTTTGGTATCCTCTATCTTAACACCTTTGTTTTTCAATATCAGTAAGAATGATTTCCAGTGCCAATCAGTAAGATTTGTAGCAGTAAAATCTAATATATATCACAATCGATTGATCACTGGGTGGTGATCAATGTCATGTGTGTCAAGTCCTTCTTGAAAGGATCGAATGCTATCGACCAAGATGCAATTTGTCCACTAGTCTAGGTGACTCGACATTGAGTGCACTATGTTTAGATTAGATGGTGGTTGGAGGTAGTCAACACGGAACCCTGGACCCGGGTTTCGTGCAACTTGGCGCTCGTCAGCAAGGTGTACCTGTAATCTTGAAGGAATTGGTGCTCTCTGGAGGATTCGATCTCGTGTCACCCAGCTTCACAGCCAGAGACGTGACTACTGAGCTATCCGGGCCGCGACCAACCTCCTGTAGAACTGAGATGTAATCAGGATTGATTGATCACTGGATGGTGATCAATATCATGTGTGTCAAGTCCATCTTAGTGCGGCTAAGAGTTCACGCGCGAAACTGATAGGTCCTGAGTTCGAATCCCGCGAGCGGGATCATGGATGAGCACTGCTAAGGAGTCCCATACTAGGACGAGTCGGTCGTCCAGAACTTCTAGGTTTTCCATGGTGGTCTAGCTTTAATTGACTTATGAATTCAACTATTTAATTAATGGTTACTGTAAAGTGAATCTGTGTATAAAACAGTGGTATTTCGGTTTGATATAAAGATATTCTTCACAGCTGTATCCCACGTCTATCTTCCTCTGATCTTCGCAATATAGTTGAGGATAGTGTTAACAGTATTAAAGGAAAAGGGGCATAGTGCTAAAGAGTAACTGAATGAATTGATTACTGGTGTCATCTTTGCATTACCCTTAAATTCCTCTGCGTTGACATTTTCGAATTGGATAGTCAAAATCAAGTTAGAACAGAAACTCAAGAGTAATTTAAATACTAAATTATCGCATGATAAGAAATGATTAACACGAATTAAAACTATTTACTATAATTCTCTTATCATGATTATTCACATTTGTGTGAAAAACTTTAATAAACAACATTGAAACAGTCTACCAATAATAAAAAAGGAAGTATGCGAATGGAACCATCAATCTACTTACCCTTTTTCAAGACTTTGAAAGTAAGGATCTTTCCCAGCAGCTTTTTTAGCTGCTGCTTCAGCCAAATTAAGTGTACTATGCGAAAGTTTCGATTTAAATTTCTTCAACATATTTTTTTGTTTGGCTATTACAGAAGAAAAAACATTTATAGACATTCTTACATTAGAAAATGAAGGAAATAGTAAGTGAATATCTCTCAGTGAACTCACTACAAATGAGAAAATGTATAGAAATATGATGTATTTAGACGAACCATTGATTAGATTGTGTAACTCGATAAACGCTATATTCCTCGTGATTGATACATGAACCGAATATCTGAACGATAAGCTCAAAAAAGAGCATTAAGACATCATGGTTAGGAAAGAATAAATCAATCGAGCCCAGACTCAATAAACTAGCAAAAACTAGTAAAAATAAGAATTGATTAATTTTAAACAAACTGATATTTACTAAAATACCGATCATATTACACATGATCTGCGAAATAATTGTTTGAGAAAAGAGAGAACACATAAACACTGGTACAAGGAGGTATCAAATATATATGCGCCACACAAATCATTCGATATGTGTGGGGGGTGGAATACGGTCCAGGAGCCCAAACCAAAGTACGTAGTTTTTTTTAGGGGAACACTCGTAGAGCCTTTAAACTAGAGGCTTAATCCACAAGGCAATGGAGCGATTTCGTGAACAACAGCTCCATTATGAGAAGGCAGTGAGTAGAACTTCCGTGACAGTGGCTGTATACGCGTAGCCTTGTGAGAGCATTTCAAGAGGGACGGTGACACTCACCCTGGGTGGTAATCAGGGCATTTTGGGGCCTTGTAATAGTAATAATAATGAGGATTGTAAACCGGCTGAAAACAGATGTGCAAAATTTAATTTCCTTTTATTAATTTTATAGTACTATGTATTGCCACGATGTTTGAAAATCCTGGTGTCGAATCACCACGAGGTGTTATGGTTAAGTAATAGAGAAGAGTTCTGAATGAAAAAGAAAACAGCTATTCAGCACTAGGTTGTTTTTCAACTTCAGTTCGTAAAGAAAACTGCTTTTTTCTAAAATAGTACCATGAAATGAAAGGTAATATTGAATGCAGTATAACAAATTAACTCTGAAATAAGGTATACATAAGCGCATACATTCTATGTCGATTTAATGTTGTTACGTTTTTAACAAAATTATTCACTCAAGTGATCGACTATAATATCTGAAAAAGACAAATAGTAAGTATTATATCTTGTGACCGTCGATTAGAGAGCAGTGACTTATCGATCGGATCAATGACGCGAAAAACACGTGCGAGCAGCATTAGAGTCTTGATTGGTCCTGTTCCTCACCTAACCCAGCCAGTTAAGTCCAGAACACCAATCCGAGCCTCTGAGGTATGAATCATTATATTTCAAGCATACTGAGTTTATATACCGATCAAACAGACCACAACGTACCAATGAAATACGAAACAACATTTGTACAAGAATTAGCCAGATGTGGCTGTGAATGAGGGAGGTAGTAATTAGTATACTGGGCATAACTCAAAAATGGTAAAACGTATAATAGTTTATGGGTCACAATAAAGCTTATAATAAGACGAATATGAATATGCATAGTTTAGTTACTTAATAATTATACAATAGAAATATGTGTTTAGTATTGGTCCATAAATTGATCCCAAAAGTTACCATTCATTCTTCTTGTCGGGACATAACAGTAAGTTAAGTTGAAAGTAATCATCTATATTTGACTACAGTTGACTCTAAATATCTCTACTTTAAATATATTCAAACAGAAAGGATCCATTTTTAAAGAAATGTATATTCCTATTGCTGACATCAAGGACTCCAAATGACATATAAGCATCCTGATTGAATTACCTTCACATAGCTACTTAGCCATTAATTTTTATTAAAGATGGATTGTAACTAACAGTAGAAATTCAAAAGTGCACTTCGTCCCAGTCGGGACACATCAGCTACAGAATGAAACCGAAAAATCGTTAAGAAAAGAGGACAAAAAGGACATTCTTAACTTATCCGCTAGCCACCATCTATCTTCATCAGGAAGAAGAAAATTCATTAACTTTACATTTTAACATGTTAAATAAAATGAAAGACAGAATCTGTGAATAACTCAGGTAGAAAATTTTTTATTACATTAAGTCTAAGTACTGAAAACTGTCATTCAAGTCACATTTATCTGATTATGAAAACATAAAATATTATTCAGACAGTTAATATGAATACTATGGGTTCAGATTTCAATAGAATTCTGATTGATATATGGACATGATAATATGATGTCACCTAGTGGTAACGATTCATCAGAGCGGAATAACGACTCAACCTTTCCTGTTCCAAAAGAACAGATATCAAAAACAAAACCACCAGACATAAAAATAGGTCCATGTATACATATATCACAGTACTGAGTTCTAAATTTCCAACTTTATCACCGAACTAATATTTGGAGGGAGGGATTTATCATATAATCGGTAATACAAGTAGTGTAAGGTAAATCAGAGGTCTGATATGATAATGTTCTACAAACCCTTTTCTAAAGTGACTAGTTAAAAATGTATGGAATACAAAACTTTTAACGAATTTTAACATACTTCATAATTATAAACTCTAATTATAATAATGATTATCTGATTCACAAACCAGAAAGTACCAATCTAACTTGTTCAGTGAATTCATTAAACAAAAAACGTTTATACATAGTAGGTTTGAAAGAATAAATTGTTGTTAGTCTATGGAAGTTCATGATTTAGAATGAAACTAATTTTTACTATCTTACATACTAATTTGAAATCACCACGTGCAAACAAATAAACCTCCTGAAGAATAACAAACTAATGTTACGCATTGATTTTTTGCTCACAGTAACAATAGCACACTAAATATCCCTTCAAATAAACATCGTTTCAATACTATCGACGGTCAAATAGATAGATAATAAGCGACTAACGCGCACCCATTTCTTTAGTTTAATTCACGAACTGATATTAGCTAGACCACCACTTAAAACCAGGAACTCCTATGAACAGCTATCGCACCTTATTATGGGACGGAACTATGAACTTCTGATATTGAGTCCAATCATCTAATCCACTGGACCAGCATCCAATAATTCGATTCCCGGTACGAAATCAACACTGGGATATAGGTACATTCAGCTGATCAGTTTATTGGGAAGTCATTCAGTTCACCACAACACCCAGATTGAGGTCATACAAATTGTCCAACTATCCACTGACGATCCTGCTGTAATTTCTAATTACATTCTTCATAAACAACAAGTTATCATCTTTAAACAAAAGCAAACTTTCTTGGTGTTGGGACAGCTCCTAGAAAGAGTGATTAAAGCTTCAAAGGTTCTAAAGAATCCGAAAACATCCCTCTCAGTCACAGCCCAACAGGATTTTTAAAATATCGACTTGGCGTGATTTAATTATATTTGCGACTTGAGGGTTCTACACGTTCAAGGGCTAAAGTCGTATGCCATATTAGCCGTAATCAAGCACCGAACGTCTATATTTGGCTACATTATTAACGATCTTTTTTATTTATTTATTCATTTATTTATAGATAATCAAGAGAAAAGATGACACAGAAGTTGTAAAATGAATGTAATCACTAAATATATGTGTGGTGCATTGTTTTGGTGACCTATTCTTACTATAATTTATGTGCTATAATAAAACAAAAAGAATTGACTGTTACATAATCAATCAAATAACCAGGACCAAATATAGAAAGTTATACACACACAAAATAACAGTAAATCACAGTAGATCCTAGACATAAATAGAAAAGGACAAGACATGAATTGAAATACACAATTTTTATAATTAAGAAAACATTATGCTTAAAAATGGATACATACTATATATAAACAATTTGTAAGTAAACATTGCCGTAAACAAGCTTTAAAAAAACAACTATCGTGATCAATTTAAATAAGGAAAAAACTTTTTTTTATGCATAAAACAAGTGTATATTCGATTAATAAGACAAATGTATGCTAATTTATAGAATTTATGGTAATGAAGTTGAAAGTCGATATTTATTACAATAACAATAACAACACATTGCGAAGTTGAATACTACTGAATGGGTCTCTAGTTACGTACAAAATTTAAAGCATAATTCATCTATGTGTTCATTTAAGTAAAACAAAAGTCACTTCTATCACTTAATTAGTGAACTGATTAGAATAATATGAGACATGATACAGACAGAAATAAAAAGCATAAAATCTGCAACAGACGGTCGTCATTATCTGTTCTTTGAGCCGCGAGATCCACCCAGGTGTCTTTCCCTTCCTCTCAGAGTTTACCTGCTTGAGCATTAAAGTCACCAACCACTATTACTACATCAGAGCGCCTAGCTTTTCGGAGGTCGGAAAGCTTTCTGTAAAACTCATCTTTTACATCGTCTGAGCTGCAGTCAGTAGGAGAGTAGGCAGAGACTACGAAGAGGCAACAAGGAGTGTCCCTATCTTTCCGAGTCCTTACTGTTCCGTTTAGTGATGTACGTACGTACGAATTTCCACGTTGTTACTGACTAACTGTATCCGTTTAATTCTCGACACTAGATTAACACAATGACAGGAAACTAAGTAGAAAATAGAATGAAAATAATAATCCCACTGGTAGTGGTTAGCTAAATACAAACTACAGTTTAACAGAAACGAATAAAATCAGGAAATGTGAAGAATACGAAACGATATTCAGTTCAACTTTAACAAAAAGACGGAGGTGCTACTGTCAACAATTTTTGTGTAATGCTTCCCAATGTTTCCTAACACAGCTCAGAATGAAAGTTAATGACATTGAAAACATAATTTAGTTTCCATATGACACAATAGTATATTCGTTTAAACATTGCTTTACATTTAATTACCATGAGTTTACACTTACGATTTCATTCGTTAAACTGGATGACATGGGATCCAATTCTCCATGGAATACCAGTTCCCATAAGAATATAGGTAAACCCTACTGAAGAGTGTCAAATATGAAGAGACTTACGTCCGCGGTTTCTATTAACTACCTCCAACTACCCTACATCTCAACGTGGTGCGCGCGATATCGAGTCACTTTGACTAGTGGCCATAGCCCAACCTCGTCGATGGAACTCGATCAACACTAGGCAAACAACACATTGGTCAACATTCAGTGATCAAACAACCGCCTTTATTTAAACTCTATCCACAGCAATAAAAATAACTGGCTACGGACTACGTCAAATATTCAAAAAGATCCATCCTATTCATTTAATGATGACACAATTTTTGAAAGGTAGAATAATCTATCCTCAGGTCTTGAAAACTAAACTCATTTACTGAGCACAGGTTTACTTTCTCGGCTTTCAGTTACACATTTTGGCTAAGGTTGGAACAACATTTCGACCTATTTCGGACCCGTCAACTGAATGTACATGTATCAGCTACAATGTTCGTACAAGAGCTAGTGATACTAACCAGCTTCCCAAACCAAAGTGGAGCGAAATTAGAATCTATGACCAAATCGTTCATGTGCTTTAACCACTAAATAATGTATCGCTCTTAACTTTTTAGGTAAGCGGATGCATTTAGTTGATGAAACTCTGGCTTATACAACTTCCCAGGTGAATCACTTGACTAGTTATAGTAAATATTCACCTCAATGTTTGTAATCAATGGATTACAAATACTGACAACTAATGAGGTGGCAGTTTCCAGTAATTTAAACTATCTAATCATCATATAGTGGGATCACTATAAAACCAACAGAAGACTACTGATGAAATGTACGTTTACACAATAAAATAGAAACAATCAATTTGTTAACGAACACATGCATAAATACGGTTGAGTAATATCCCTCAAATGACTGGATGCGAAGTTAGTGTTCTAAACGTCACGCATTCGCCACGTGAGATGGCAGTCCCGGTTACGATCCCCGATGGGGTTAAAGATGCGAACTCTTGAGAAGTCCCATACTATGACGAAATAGTTTTCCAGTGCTTTCTGGTTCTCAATGGTTCTTTGACTTCGGTTGGTTTATAATCTCAATTATATATATATATATATATATATATATATATATATATATATATATATATATATATATATATATATATGCCATACTAATTAAGTGAGATTAAAGTACAAAGACTGAATTTATGTTAAAACAGGGTGTGGCAAAAAACGCAGATAAAGTAAATGTCTAAAATTCATTTCATTTGCCTGCGAGGAAAAACATTTTTGAAAACGTACTGATGAACACACTTTTTGTTTTAAATACACGAAACAAATTAAATAGAATATTGCTTGGGCTACTACACAGAAACAAAATAACGATATGTATATCTAAATTTCAGTTTACACACACACACACAAAACAATAATTAGTTTAACGAACTTGAGATTGGTGTATAAATCAAGAGTATATAAAATAATTATTCACGAAATGAAAATTTTGCCAAAAAAACTTGTTAGCTATTCTCTTTACACAAAGACAAGAGAATATTTTGGAAACTTGACACTCAGGTCATTGAGTAATTATCAAAAAGCTGATCGATTGTATTCGATTAATACTGAAAATTACATACAACAACGCTGGTTAGTGTGTTCAGTGAATACTTAATGGAAAAACGTATCTTACTTCTACAGAAGCTCAATTGTAGCCTGAATAAATCGTAAGGAAAAGGTATATAACGCTGGGTGAAACATGCTCAGAAATCTTATGAAGAACATGTTGTGCTGAGTACTATCTACGACAAAATCTAGGTCTAATGACTTTTTGTTGATTACCTTCAGACAGTGACAATACAATTATTGACGATAATCCAGAAGAACTTTTTATCCACAAAATGAGCTGTGGAAAAAATCTAATTTATCCAATCCTAAAGTATATCCTGATAATGTTGTCTACAAACTTTATAATTAAACTATTGAACCCTAAGAACACAACAAAGAACAAGTAAAATCCTCCTCATAAACTGAAGAAAAATATTTACCATATAACACGAAGTATTTGTTAACTAATTAAGATATATTTCAAATAAACTACCATACATTAATACATTGATTTATAAACAAAAAATATTTTCTAACAATAAGCAATTTCTTACTTGATTTTATACTGCCTGCAACTGATCCACCAAATTCTGATTGAGCATATGGACTATTTGAATGTGATTGATACATTGGTGGTAAACCCATTGGTCCACTGAATTCACTTACAGTACCATCATTTTCAAATGGATTATATGACATACCGGGTACTTGTAAAGTAGCAGATGAACCATTAATTTCCCTTTTTTGATAACCATTAGTGTAATCATTATCATTTTTGGATCTATGCTTAGATCTAATTAATAAAGAAAATTATAGTAAACTAGAGTTAAACAATATCATTCTATACTGTTATCCGAAAAAATGAAAAAACGATAATAGTAAATAAAAATACTGGATTTCTACTCAGTGGTCGTCTAAAGGCAGCGCACAAGACGTTAAAGTCCTGAGATCAATTATTAACAGTGTAAGGACTGAGAACTGTCAATAAATTTCATAATACAACAAATTCAGTACTCTCTAGTATCAAAACTGTTGTCAATTTGCGCCAAATACCACCTAAAAACTAAATTAATCTTAATGAACTCAACTGAAATCATCATAATAATACATACAATGGTGCACATGGGCTCCAGTATCCTGCGGGAACAAGTGGCGTATGAACCAATTTTTGGTCACCAGCTACCATAGGACTGCATTTCCTCACGATGCTCCACTGCTTTGTGGGTTAGACCTTTAGGTTAAAGGCTAGGGGTGTAGCACTTCCCCCCTAAGAAAACCACCTGCTTTGGTCTAGGCATCCGTGTAGTATCACAGCCCACACACAGTTATGATGAACTGTCTATATTTATGGAAAATACTCTTCTTGCTGCGATTAACAATCAAATGATCCTTATTATTATTATTATTATTATTATTATTATTATTATTATTATTATTATTATTATTAGCTACGTCATTTATTCACTCTCTTTTATTCCCACTCTGTCTATCCTTACTTTTCGACTTATACAGCAGCTCACCTATGGAAATTCGGCTCTATCTAACGTTCTCGAGTCACTGCCTGATTGAAAATTGTACGCTACCACCGAATACGAGTACTGAAGCAGTTTTTCTGAAACCACGTGCACCATTCAAACTGGCTGCCTTCAAAGTTCGCACATTTATGCAGGTCGGACAACAGATAGAGCTGGCTATGTCTTTAGGAAGTCTTAATATCGATGTTTGTTGTCTATCCGAGACCCGTATTCAAGACTCTGGTGAAGTACTACGAATTCGATCTCCATCTGTCGCTTCGAAAAGCTTGCTTTACGTGCGTTTACCTGGGGACCCTGTGGCATCTTCGTCTGGTCTTGCTGGCGTTGGTGTCGTACTAAGCGCTAGAGCTGAGGCAGTACTAATCGATTAGATCCCCATTAACAGTCGGTTATGTGTTGTTAGATTAGAGTTCCATCAAAGTGAGAAGAAATTGGCGTGAGAAACGATGTCTTTTCGTCATCTCCGACTATGTTTCGACAGATTGCAGCCCGGATGCAATCAAGGATGAATTCTACCACCAGTTAACTGTTCTTCTCCAGAAAGTGCGTTCGACAGATATTGTATTACTAGCCGGAGACTTGAATGCTCAGGTCGAGCGTCTTAGACACAGAAGAGAGTCGTTTAGGTGGCCGATGGGGACATGTTGGTCGCAGGACAGATAACGGGGACCGTCTACTGCAACTGTGCACAGACCACAACCTGTTTCTGGCTAGCACTAACTTTCGGCACAGTCATCGCCGATGTGCCACCTGGCGTCCTCCCTCTGCATCTCAAGCCTGGACTCAGATTGATCACATCGCGTTCAGCTACCGCTGGCGTGGTTGTGTACAAGACTGCCGCTTCTTTTTAAAGTACCTATCTGGACTCTGACCATGCCTTGGTCTGCGCCAATCTTGCCTTACTTTTCAGTGGACAACGAAGTGACCGCCATCAACGGATTGATATTAGCAAGCTGGTTGCAACTTCTGTTGCAAGTAAGTATCGAACCGAGCTAGCCTCTAGGCTAGCTACCACTCCACCGAAAAGTATAGATGAGCATTGGTTGCAATTTCATGACGCCATGAAAATGGCGGGAACAGTCAGTTGTGGGTTTGCGAAACGTCCCGCTTTTAAGCACTGGGTTTCTTCTGGTTCCTTACAACTCATTGAAGCCCGTCGGTCTACTCCGGGTGACCGTGAGTTTGACCATAAACGAAGGATGTTATGTAAGGAAATTGGGCAAAGCTTGCGTAAGGACCGAGAAGCCTGGTGGTCGAAGCGTGCTAATGAGCTGGAAGCAGCAGCTGCATCTGGTAACTACCGGAAGCTCTTCCAGCTCATCCAAGCCACTGGCAGCAAGAAGTTTGGTGTGAGTGAAGCAATCTGCGAGGATGATGGGATGCCAATCACCAACATCCATCGACGTCTTGGACGATGGGCAGAATTTTTCGAAGGACAGTTCAACTGGCCTGCTGCTCCGGCAACATCGGTCAGACTGTCCTGTCCTCCATGGCCGGTGACGACTGATCCACCAAACGAGGAGGAAGTCCGCAAGGAACTCCAACTCTTGAAGTGTTACAAATCACCTGGCCCAGATGACTTACCTCCGACTCTTTTTAAAGATGGTGGTGACTTTCTGACTAAAGAATTGACGACGTTGTTTACAAAGGTTTGGGATCTAGAGAGTGTACCAACGTCATGGAATGAGTCGATAGTTGTCCCTATCTTTAAAAAGGGTTCACGTCGTTCCTGTAACAACTATCGGGGGATAAGTCTACTTCCGATTGCGTCCAAGCTATTGGCTTCCGTCATACTTCGTAGGTTGTTCAAAACCCGAGAAAGATTGACTCGCGAGGAGCAGGCTGGGTTTCGTTCTGGTCGAAGATGTATTGATCATATCTTCACCCTCCTCCAAATGTTAGAAGACAGCCATACTTATCAAAGGCCAACAATCGTAGTGTTTCTTGACATCAGGGCTGCCTTCGATTCGTTGAACAGGACTGTTCTCTAGGATTGTCTGTTAAAGGGTGTGCCTGAGAAGTTTATTAACATCCTAAAGGCCCTATATACAAACACCTCAGACAGAGTGAGGGCATACAACCATCTTTCTTTATTGTTCCATTCAAGTAGTGGGGTTAGACAGGGTTGCCCAATCTCACCATTCCTCTTCAACTTTGCCATTGATGACATTCTGGAAACAGCTCTGTGAATCTGTTGCCTGGAGAAAGACTTCTTGATCTTGAGTATGCGGACGATATTGTCTTACTGTGCGATAATGCCCAAGTCATGCAATTCGCACTTAATCAGTTGGCAATCAGTGTCCGTAGGTATGGTATGTGCTTTGCACCTTCGAAGTGCAAAGCACTTCTACAAGACTGGCAGGATTCCAATCCTGTACTCACCCTGGATGGTGAGCAGATAGAAGTAGTCGAGAAGTTCGTGTATCTGAGTAGCTGCATAAGTGCTGGTGGGGGTGTAAGTGATGAGATCAATGCACGTATAGTGAAAGTCAGAGCGGCTTATGCCAATCTGGGCCATCTTTGGCGCCTTCGTGATGTCAGTCTGGCTGTAAAAGGTCGGATCTACAACGCGTCGGTGAGAGCAGTTTTGCTCTATGCTTCTGAAACCTGGCCTCTTCGAGTTGAGGACGTTAGACGACTCTGTGTTTGATCATCGGTGTCTCCGAAGGATTGCTGACATTCAGTGGCAACACCATGTTAGTAATACAGAGGTTCGGCATCGTGTGTTCGGGCACAGAGATGATAACTCAATTGGTGTCACCATCTTGAAACACCGACTTCGGTGGCTTGGACATGTTCTCCGAATGTCGTCCCAGAGAATTCCACGTCGTGCATTATCTGCCGACTCTGAGACTGGTTGGAAAAAGCGGAGGTGGTCAGTGTAGGACATGGTGTCGCGGTATGAAAGAAAGCTGAAAAGGGCTGGCTTCTGTTGGTCCTTCACGACTCCCTGGTTGGGGTCATAGAGATGGTGCGACACAGTGGCTAGAGACGTTATCAGATATGGCTCAGAATAGAAGCCAGTGGTGATCCTGCTGTAACCTTATTTTACTTTCTTCATAAAAAAAACGTGGTTGTGTCTTACTTAACTGAAAGATTTCTTCTGATTGTACCTTTTCGTTTCCCCCATTATTATTATTACACTACCTTACACTAATCTGTACTTTTTTTCTACGCTCCTTAATTTTTTTCCTTCTTCTCTTCAAATTCTTATTGTTTTGTGTGATGCATATGTATTTGGTGCCCTTTTGTACCAATATTTATGTGTTCAAATAAATAAATAAATAATAATACATCACCTAGTAGTAAGCTAACAAACACAAATGTCCAAAGTGAATACTAGTTGAATAAAAATAATGTATATTTAATATTTTTTCGTTTTATCGGCGGAAATTCCTAGGCCTAATAAACTCAAAACGATATATATATATATATATATAGTATAAACAAATATGGTAACTGTCGTTAAACGTTCATATCATTTGGGGTGCCAATAAAGAAATAGAGAGCGTTTGGATAGACATTTCGTCCTAATATATGGCTCATCAGAAGTGTGCACATACGATCCCCATCGGGACTGAACCTAGAACCTTCTAGTTTTGAAGAGGATGTTTAACCATTAGAACCAGCAGATTGGGGCCCATACGACAAATTACAACTTCGATCAATTCGTGATATGTGGTACCCCTTCGACTAAAATACAGCTTGTTCACACTATCCAATGAGCATAGAAACTAATAAGTCGTTCGATGTTTTTTTAATAATAAGCAATTAATATCACACACATATACATGTTACAATAATTGTACATAATAATGAGTAAATCATACTTGACAGTTAAATAGATGAAGCTCAACTATTATTACTCTTCATATTTTCATTCAGTCTAACGCAGACAAATATCTATAATGATAGTTGGAGTAAATAATGAATAAACAGAACACATATCTTACTTTGAACGTATTTTCGAACTAAGATTTGTAAGTGAACCACGTAATGATTTAGAATGGTGTACAGTATTAGCTTGAGTTCCTGGAGGCCAATAGTCAATAGCCCAAATCCAATAAACTAAACGTCCATGTGCATTAGAATTTTTTCGCTTCGCTTTTAAATCAGAATAACATAACCGTGATAAGTCGAAATTTGGATTGCCAGTTTGGGGAACTTGATTTAAGGGGATATCAACTTGACCGATATGATGATTATCTCCATCGACAACAAGTAAAGTAACTGGATCTGATGGACTAATCAAATCTCTATTTAAGAAAAGACAACACAAAAGCATGAAAAGAGATATTAACGTACAATAATACACCATTTACTACTTGTCTACAAAAACAGAACGACAATCTCATCATTAAAAATTGTACCTTGTTACATCCTTTGTAAATATATACCATACTTACAACTTACGTATATGCGAAATAACTGATTTCTGTGTAGCTTAAACTTGCTGAGATTTCATTCATTACGTTTATACACACTAGAATAACTATTTCATAAGACAATTTTGAAAAAAGGGTAAACTGCTATACAATCGTCATGTGACCTATGATCTCCGAGAATATAGTACTTAGCATCTTAAATTACCGGAATCTAACATTTTCAGGAGCCTACTGACGTAGCACTTACTTCACGTAACCTGCATAGGATCATGTTTTCAATATCGTGTCCAACAAAACATTCTCAGATTCTATAGTTTAATCACAATAAACCTAGTATGGCACATTTAGCTAAGGTATGATACAGAGTATGTAACACGTAAGTGTTAAAAATCCCCTTGAAATCCCTCTTTTCAGGTTTTACTCACGAAAAGCACGTTACTTTCACATATAATGACGAAGAAAACTATAATAATCAGGACCGATGATATGTTTGGTCGTACACAGATTAGATGGACATGAGCCTACTTTTAGAATTGAAAGAAACGTCTTAAGTGAACGGCGCCGAAAAATGACTAGGATAGTGAACTGAGAACCCTTAGCTTAGTTAGATCAGTTAAAACCAAAGAAGTAATAACAATGTTGAGTGCCTACTAAGTCGTTTATTTCAAAATATATATATTTACCCTTACAACAGTATGGACTCTGAATCAAATTACATTAAAATTCCAATGTTAAAGGATGAAAAATGAAAGTACTGTCCTAATAACAAAGAACAAGAAGTAGAGGATATAAATTTTTACACAAGCCAACTGACTAAACCGTCATTCATCAGTAAAATAAAGCCAGAAACAAACGTGTGTTAACCCAAGTTACCATATCACACTAGCACGAGATGAAATTAACAAGGTGAATAGTAAAAGAGTCGAAATCATGTACGTTTTCTCCTTTTAAATCAAGACCAGTGATACGAATTCTGTTGGACAATTATTTCACAGGTTTATGCCAAATGTAAAACTTATCGACTATCATTTCATAGTTTATATAACTTTGATTATTAAAGCAGTTGGGAAGTGAATTCTTTTTGAACATATACACACACAATTCAACATTTAACAGTAAAAAATTTGTTGGGGATATCTTTGAAAAACCACTAAATTAATTAGATAAAGATTTTAAAAAGGTGATTACATAAGAATTGTAATATTTATTACTTTAGAATTTCACTTACAATGTTACTTCACAATCCCATATTGGACGACCATCTTCTGCATCAACATACTCTGAGGCTAATTTAACCGCTCCACCCAAAAATATAACGCGCCATCGACGACTTTTAGAGGCTATTTTGAAGCAATATTACATTGGATAATAATAAGTGTATATTGTAAAAAAAAAATTATTATCATACAATGCAAAGGTAAAATTTGATAATCAAAAATTGGCTCAAGAAATATTAATGATAATAACAATAAGCCTTTATTGTGATGATGATGATGATGATAACGACGATAATGACAGATGAAAAGTCAGATGATGTTGTTAAAGGATCACATGTAGGTTTAAATGCATAACATATGTATTACGATAAATGTTTTACGTCAACTTATTAGAAATGCAACAATCTTTTCAAACTAACAATCTCCTTGTTACCAACTGGTGATCATATAACCAGTAACTAGATATTTTTTCAAACTGTTACATTACTAGTAGGCTAATTATTTTTATAATGCGTTAACAACGTGAGTCATTAACAATTCAGTGATAAAGCCCCCACTATTTGGGTTCTGGAGTATATCACAATAATATTTATTTTGTACTAGCTGCAAAACAGAGATCGGTACTTAGGGAGAAATTAGTCTGATTTATAACAATCTCAAACAGAAATTAAAAGGAAGTACCTAAGGCTACCGTTTATTTATTTAAGCTGCCAAACTCCACATTAGCACAGTGATAGGAAACTAGCCATATAGAAAGCAGAACGGGGAATAATATAAAATATGAACAGGGGTAGAAAACTAGAAAAACAAGAAGCCTAGTTTCAAAAGGGCAAATAAGGTTCGAAGAATGAGAAGTATGTGATAATAATAATAGGCTTACGATTTGGGGGAAGTTAAATATTGAGTCCATCTGCGTCAATGTCACTGACTTTCGGTCATGGTGTAGTGAAGGAGAACACAAGTGGGGACAACCAAATGTATTTAAATGCAAAATTACAGAATATCTTGGTAAAATCTGAGAATCATACAGTAAATAGTTCATTTACAAAATGTCAATCAGTCGTCTCAGACTTCATTGTGCATTCGTTTCCACATCAATCATTCTCTGTTCTCGTTCTCTTTTATTCGATCTTTTTAACCTTGTGTCGTCAGGCATTTCACTTTCGATTGGTGATACATACTACTTATATCTGTCGACACCAGTAACACACCACAATGGTACTTAAGGTATCGGAGAATCCTTTATCTAGGATATTTTCTGCGCCTCTAGAATAAACATACAAAATCCAAATCGGATTACCGACTTGACTTCATACCTAATTGATGTGAAGATCCAAATCGATTCACATTTCAGAAATACTTGACAGTAAGCTCTAGTGATTTTAATGGTGTAAGCACAGTATTAAGGTTCAAAGTTAAGATGGCCACTTGTAAAAAGTATTCTGATAGACAGTCTGTCTGGATCAACGAATGTATGATATATACATATCCAAAATTCATGATCATATTCGACTCATTTTATTCCGTTATTCTCTAACGCGAATTAGGTCAATAATTATATACGAGGGTTGATGATATGCATAGTTGGTTAACATCGGTCAATCAAATTGGAGTCATATCAGTGGGCCATAAAAGTGAGTACAAAATCACTAGGACTTAACACGAGCACTTGACTGTCTATAACATATTAACTGACAAGTGCGATACTACTTATCATTCTATACCAGACATACTACATATAGGAAGACAATATAGGCAACAGCTGCTTATCAGAAGTAATTATTCTAGAAACAATCGAGTATACAATTTAGGTTATTGGACTAAGGGATTTTAGTCATTGTGAATATAATGCTATTGTTCATGTGATATGTTTTTCAAAAATAATGAAAAAACTTTAAATAGCATTAAACATCTTGAACTTTAAAACATAACATTGAAGTCGACTTATATAAAAGAATATGCTAATTGATGAAATCTCAGTTTCAAATTATTTAATTATTACCAGCTCATTTGCCAAGTATAAGTCTATTACTCAAGTTTTCGATCACAACTAAACGATGCTACTCAGCTGTTTAAATAGAAGACTAAATGAGGTTTGAACCTGTAGTCTATTAATTCAAAGCTGAGTGTTTAAGCTAACAGGTTATCATTCATGCAAAACATTTGTCACCACAATCGATTCTTTAATTACGTAGTAATAATTGTATTTTTTATCCGGTCAGACAAATGTATTTACTAACAACATATCCAAAAATACCTTTTTTAAGTGACGAAGTGTATTCCAAATTTTCCCCACGCTGTACTACAAAACAAAAATAAACAAGTTCACTGATTAACAAGAAGTGTGGAGTAATACATAAACACTAGTGAATTTACATCCAAGCTTTGAGTAGAAAAAGCCTAGAACCTAGTTTATGAAAATAACCTTAAGTATACAGATAAAAACTTAATCTACTCCATGATTTTAATGGTTAGACCGTTATTCTGATCTCCATTCATATGTAAATATAAGAAATAGGGGTATATGTGAGGGAGTCTTAGTATTCAGTGCCAAACGTCACTTACATTTATCTTGTCCCTCGAGATGTTATAGGAAGATGTAAGTCGTAGACTAGTAAACCAACCTAAGTGAGTTTTATTCACCACTGAACAGAAATTGCAATTGTACCAGTATAGAAAATTATGGTTACAGTTTAATGTTTGAGTGGATAGTATCGCATTCTTATTGTTAGCGAAGGTGTTTGTGTCAATGGCTTAATCTCTTTTACATTGCTTTGTCTTGGATAGTATCACTAGTAGTCACATAAAAAAGTGACTTAAATTTGAGTATGAAAATTTGCATTTGGATACCGAGTCGAGAACCCCGTTGTTACGTCAACATTCAACCTTCATACCTAGTAAATTACGGTTACTGATTTTTGACTAAATACTAGATACTTTGCCACAATATTTCTTCAACTCATCATGTGTAAATTGATGTGCCCATTTCTGAATGGAAATGTTTGGGTGAGGTCAGGCGTTGTAACAATCTATTACGAACCACTTTCGTAGGTTTACCACCCAAACTATGGGCACAACAATAAAAATAAGTAAACACAACTTTAGAAACTGTCTAAAAATCATTCATGTTCATTCATCGGTGACATTTACCGGTAAGTGATGTAGAAAAAGTAAAATAATCCATCTTCATATTGGTTACAAGGCGAGTGCTTACACACAGCTAAAGTGTGACCAATGATTTTGTAGATAACTATTATCTTAATTGTCATGTTGACGTACAGTTAGAGACTAGTTCAAATAAGAATTACAGAATATTTTTTGGAAAACATGAGTTATTGTGGTTCCAATGTTTGATCATTTGACTGATAAAACTTTATACGAACTCCTGAATGAGGTGACTGATCAAACAAATCGTTAGTTACAGAATTTACTTCATTCAGTCAACCGAACAACTGATGGTATTTACACTGAGCAAATACTAGGAGGGAGAAAGACTGGCCACTACCAACTGATTATTGAATGGAAACGTGAACGTACAAAACGAGCTACACGAGACTCGTAAAATTTGTTATCACTCACAAAATTAATGTTAAACAAAACGTAACTATGAATAAATGAATAAACCACTGATAATGCCTACAAGTAATAAGCTGAACTTCCAACTATGATGTCAATAAATTTTTCGAAATACTAGTTCAGAAATTTCTGAATGGTGACAAACTATATAAAATATAGTATTTTATCAGATAAATTTAATTATTTCCAATACCAATGCAGACTATAGAATAACAATGAAATTGTTCACTTTGGCAGCGATGAAAATGAAATCATAAAGTTTACAGGCTATGAACAGGCGACCAACAGTATAAAACTTCACACGAACTCAAAAAATGTGATAATAGCTCCGTGTATCCAGACATCTTTCTATGATGGTTCGAAACATATCACTGAATACAAAATGGTTTATGAAGAAACACTTCCAAGACAATCAGTTTAAAATACAATAACACGTTGGGTAACATAGTTTTATATTAAATTTGCAAAATTGCAAAAATGACCACACATTTAACACAGAGAATTGAATTACCGCGTGAAAATACCAGTTAAAAAGATTTGACAACAACAAGTAGAATGAACAATATTTAACGGTTAGTAATTACCAATTATATTGACTTTTTTAGGAATATTCATCATCTTTGACAGCTAAACTAGTCCAGTAAAAAGTTGTGAGTCATTCTACGAAGTAGAAAAAAAGTTGTTTATGAGATACAGCACAGCTTCAAAAAAGAACAGGAAACTGTCAAAAAAAATTCAGTTTCCATTAGGTACTCTCGCAAAAAGGAACTCTATAATTTATATATGATCAGAAAAGACATCTTGTAAGACCTAAAACTTGCTTGTCTTATTTATTTATTTAAAAGCCAACAGCGATGAAATATCAAACATGTGAATTTAAACAGAGGAAATAAATCACTGAACATGTTGAGAAACACATTGAGATAACTGAGACACATATCACATACAATAAACTGATGCCTAGAAAGATGCCCTATGTTAACTGAAAAGAAATGAATTTTTCGTTCTCTCATCATTTGTTCACTGCAATTAATATTGATTCTACTCCATATTTTATCATGTTGATTTTCTCTATTGATGTGTTATGTGGTGTATCAAACTGGATCGAAGCATACTAGTGTCAGTTTCAACGATGTCCATGACTGGTTTTTCGACCCTTACAAAATGTTAGATGAATGTACTAAGTTATTCCTTCAATTTATTAAATGTTTGCCAGACCTATATGAAATGCTATCAGCTCACTGGCTAGAGTTTAGTGATGTTAAAAAAACTAGGATGAGTCTACATCAACCCTTATTTTGGATAAAAAACAACTAACTGACCGATTAACTCGCCACACTTCCCCTAATGGTTTTTGCTAGCTTTGGTAACACTGTTTACTTTTTTGATAACGTCATTTTAGAATGTATCAACTTGAACGAATACAATCTAGCATCAGCTACCGTATTCTTTCGAAATTAATTTAGGGGCGAAATAACCAAAAACTGACAAGCGCAACGCAGAAAGATGAACTTTACGTGTGACAGATGTTATTTTAAGACAAATCTTGATGCAGTACAGTTACCCGATGCAAATTCGTGGGTTTAACTTTGAGCATCATCAAGACACCTAAAAAGTGATTGTATCAAGATTATCAGTTATTAAATTTGGCAACGACCGGTGTGCAATTAATACCATGACTACGAGAAGATCAACACAAAATAGGACGAAGATCTGAGAAATAAAAATTTGGAAGAAATCTGGAAGTTTTCCAAAACTGGAGTATTTCAGTAGGGAAAACGTTAAAACATTTTCCAGTTTTATGCAGACCGCGATCACGAGGATGTAAGATGAAATTGACTTTTATTATTGTAGTACCATCAGGATACAGAAAAAAGTCACTTCTAGTCTATAAAAAACGCCAAGTAGATGGGATTAATAGAAAGAAATAGATTGAGCAAATAAGTCGGAATCCGTGATAATTATAAGTAGGACAACGATCAAAAAAGCTATAAGTGACCAATTGGAGATACAAAAAGTAAGTTTAGCCACAACTCAATTAACTATCCATGATACAAACTAAGAACAAACCATCGCAACGCCAGAGCTTAAAATGACCGCTACCACAATCCGGTATCCAATTCCTCGGCCACGGAGTTACATAAACCAATTGATTTACTCTCTTAGGATGCTCCATATTGGAGAGTCGCGGTGTGCTTGAAATGTTCTGTACCATTATCATGTCACTTTTTCTTACACAGCCCAAAGAGAATAATCTGAAGTGTTGGAGCCTTAACTCTGCCTGTAGCTCATCAAGAGTTACTACCGGTCCCAAGCCAGGGTTCGGGGAGTGAAAAGGAATTCCGCGACCCCATCTCATATAAAAAATCTTTCTAAAAAACGTCAACCAGATCAAACAAATCAGATCATTTAAACTCTGCTTTTAGAGTCTAAGAAAGAATTATGACGCCTCAGGCTAAAAGATGAGATTCTCCGCAAATCATCAGGCCGATGTCCTTTCCAAAAACCGGAGCAAAAATTTTTATGGGTACATGAAACGTCGGCACAATGTGAAAGACCGGTAGGACCAACCTAGGCGCTACAAAAATTAGGAGATACAACTAATTCCCGAAATCAGTGGAACACGTTGGACCGAAGCTCGATAAAAAAAGATAGATCCAGAAGGGATGCTTCTGTATTCCTATCACGAAGAGAACAATGCTCCACACACTCAGAGAGTTGCTCTGATGACAATCTCACGGATCCAGAATCATCAAAGCATCATTCAAAACAAAGAAGAAGGAGATCACAATGAATGTTATCAGTGTTATGCATCAAGTGATGATAGCATTGACGATGGCAAAGATCGGTTCTATGAGAGGCGAAAATTCATCATAGCAAAGTGCCCAAGAAAGAATCTCACCATTCTGATAAGAGATCTTAACGCCAAAGTCGGGATAGACAACACCGGATATGAAGATATTGTGGGACGATACGGACCTGGAGAGATAAAGGAAAACGGTGAGAGATTTGCAAACCTATACGCATTCAACAAATGGGTGAAGGCGGCACAATATTTCCGTACAGACGTATATGTTTTACTCCTGAGACATATAACCCAGCCGACTGCCCGTTCATGTGCGTGATCTAAGAGATTTATGTCTCTTTTGAAGAACGGAAGTGCGAAATTATTGCAAACTTCAAGGTGGAGTTGTATGTTACAAGATATTAGGAACAACTCTGAGGTGCTCAGCCGTTTTCTCATAAAGAGGGGGGTTCCGTTTCTTCATCTGCATTCCCTGTGTTTTCTGAGCTAGTGTCTAAGCTTTCTGTGACTAAAAAGCTAGAGGCCGCTTACTGAGGAGATAATCGAGAGCGAATTTCCATGGAGGCCATATATGCTTTGTGTCCGATGAGTTAGAATGTTCATGATATAACATCCAGACAGGTTGAGTTCTAATCTATTGTTCATTGCTCATTCCTCAATTGTTGTAAGGCCCTTTTAAAGCTCAAGTGAATCCGATTCGCCTTTTATGAACATCCAGATATTTGCATAGTTTGCATAGATCTAACCTTATCTAACAGACCATCTTAAAAGATCAGAGAAATAAGTGGATCTAAGACTGTCACTGTCAAAATCCTGATGCCAGGGTACAAAAGAACCTATCCAGTAGGTTGTCCTGGAACCAACGTAAAACTGGAACAGTAAAATTCATCTTCGCAACCTTCACCAGGTGGAGAAAGTGAGTAAGGCTTTCGGAAAGTCAAGTAGTATTATGTAGACCTGTATATTTTAGTGCCAGTAGGCCGTCCAGCCGTCCCATGCTATAATGTGGTTGAACGCACAGAATCTATCTTTCTTAAACCTATGCTGGTCTCCGTTGGGAATGTTGTTTTTGTCCACGTATTCCGTCATTTGTTCGTTGATCATTTCTTCCATTATCTTCGACAGCTTTGGGATTAATATCATCGGTCTGCAACAGGCTGGATCTTTTATATCTCAACCTTCAATATTAGTGAGAGTAGTCTGTTTCCAATCACCTGACAGTCGGTGTGACAGAGGCGAGTGTCTGAGCAGGTCACATAGCAGTGTGCCAATGGGTCCCACAGACTGTTCTACGATCATACGGAGGATGTTGTCACAGTCTGGTAAACTTCCCGGTCTCTTTAGTGCTAAAATGGGATACTTTGACCAGGCAATCAAATGACACTAGAGTTGAGGAGTGTTCTGCCCTTGTAATCCACTAGTTTAGTTATTTGGTGAAGTTGGTTAGGTCACTGTTTGGTTCTTTAATAGCAAATGTCTCCTGGTTTGTAGGTCTTAGAAATCTGTGAAGACATCAAGGGTTAGATTGTATTTTGGCTGCTAGCTTGGCCTGAAAAAAATTGATACTGTTTCAAATCTTGATGTAGTGCTTGTTCCTCAGTGTCATGTGATAGCTACTTTCAGAATCCATTAGTGGGACTTTCCATTTGTACCAGGCCGTTTTTAGATTACAGCCGGCGTTTTGTCTTCCGCTTAACACATCATCTTCTCCTTTCAAGAGTGTATTTGCTCAAGGTACGTTGCTCGTGATAGCTTCATGAATGATATACTTCATTGCCTTCCGGTAGTCATTCACTCTTAAATAACCAATCTTGTGGCCATACGGACAGTGTAGGCTGCCCCGGAATAGCTGTACAGTCTGTCCCGGTGGATGAAAAGTAGAGACCATTCCCGTTAATTTGAATTTCTTCATTTCAGATCATGTCAATTATGACTATGCGGTGCCACTATTCCTTATTCGATCACGACACGGACGTTTCCTATAAGAAGCTGATCTTTTGTTAATAAATAGTCTAATTTAGAGTTGTTTTGCCTCTTCCCTATCTCATAGCGTCACCTTGTTCACTTAGTCTGATACTTTTAGGGCGTATGACAAGCTGAGAACGAAATCACAGTGTATAATACTCTGCTTTCTGAGACTTAGAAACGGAGTGTCGAGTTCTCCAATTAGCAACATTTGGTTAAACCCTGTGTTCGTTAGGCCTAGTACCACCTGCATTCTCACATCTCTTTAAGCCTTAGTGTCTGATGGAGGACCGATATGTTCCTTCAATGAAATATATTGTGCCATCTTCATTGAAACAACACCGTCATCATTCTGTTGTAGTGGTATTGATTCCCAACGACATGATCTTTGAAACCGAGCGTTGATTACTGTGGAGAGTTACATTCTGCATGTAACACTAAGAAAAGGCCAACAATGGTGGACGCGACAAAAATCAGCCGAAATGGTGTGTCTCGGCCATGACACATCAATAATTTCGGGATCAGGTCTATTATTATAGTAGCAAGGATAAATGCACTAATATAGACTTGGCCATAATTCTACACTGTCACCTAGGTTGATTTTGCACTTCGAGTTGTTACAGGCTTCAAGTTGCTGTTAGTGCATACTGTCGCTCCACCTCTTGTTTCGTGCAACCTGCCGCGTTGAAAAAGTATCATGCATTGCAAGTTCTTTCCGTCATCTGTGAAGTTGGGTGACAGCCATATCTCGGCTAGGACATTGATCTTCAGGTCCAAGTGAAAAGGCATAATTCTTATTTATCCTAGTTTACTCACTGATCCTCTAAAGCTGCTATGGAGGTACTCGTTGATTCGTCTCATCACCTCTTAACCTTCTCTAGTAGCATCTGTCCCATGGTTTCTAAGTAGACTGTTATACAAAGTCAGATGGCTATTTCTATGGGAACAGGAAGCTGTAGACATTTTCCCAGTATAATGGATCTCCTCAGCTGAATAGATGTACCTGTGTCCTTTACTGTGGGTTGTTGATCATGGCCATCCGACACCAAGGTGCTTTTTTTCGTTCTTTCTAATGTTTCCATACCGGCACAGGTTGGCCCCTACAATATTTGGTGCGATCAGAGAGGTTATACTTCGAGTTGTACCTCGCTTGAGGGGCCTCATTTAGGCCAATATCGTTGATGCGTATCTTATCCGTGAGTTTCGTTCTGACTACCACCTACTAGCTCAGGAAATCCGTTAACCAATGTGCCGTTTCGCTCTTGGGTGTTTGCTGACCATTTAGTGCTATCTCTTACGGACCATGGTTTGTCCTGTTTAGCTCAGATTTGAGAGGATCGCTTAACCCATTATCTCCTGGATGTTAGCAAAATTCCTCGAGTAATGTGTACTGAATCCAAAGTAACCGGTAATGGAGGGCGTTGATCTTTCGTTGTTTTTCGGTCCTCATACAGGCGGTATAGCTTGGCTGAAGTGGCACTTTTACACATCATTGTACAGTATTTGCACTACTGTTCTTATCAGAGGATGGCCTTGTTTCTAATAATATACTTTTCAACAATAGAACATCAAATAGAATCATAGAGCTTTGCCCGAAACCCTTGTCCCCGATTTATAGCGTTTTGAGAGCTGTGATATTACTGTTTTTCTTAATAACGCCCACCAACTGCTCCTTGCTGCGTATAGATACTGAGGTATTTGAAACAGTCGGTAACTTCATTGGTGAATGAGCATTGGTTGTGGCTCCCAGTCTCATGATTGGCTGAGTCTGTGTTGGACGAGTTGGATATACTCGCGAGGATTAATACTGTTGTTTTCACTAAGATTTTGGGCTTAACTTCTGTGAGCCTGTAGAATTATGGTCTACCATGATATTAGTACTGCTTCAATAATAGACCTAATCCCAAAATTGTAGATTTGTTATGATATAAATGCCTAATCTATAAGATCTTACGTGGAAGCCACATCATCGTCTACACCAACTCACTGTATTGTAACAACTACCAATACATGATGGAGAACAAGGTTAGGCTAGAGAAAGAACAATATATTTAATATGAATAAAAGATATAAGGTAATATTCAGTAGGGACCACGCCTCTATGGCCGAGCCATGCCATTTGATTAACTCCAATTCATTCCATTCCTTGTTCCCGCCTTTTTAATCGTTAGGTATTTCTCCGCATTAAATATTTAATATCTACTTTCCGAGTAGTCTCGTGTTCAGCTTTGTGGAATGTGTGGTTATTGTCCAATGCCACTACAAGCCTTGTAGCTATATTTACAGTGGTATAGG